AAAAAAAAAAAACATCTTCGAATGTTGATACAACTCATCGCAAAAGCATCAAATATCTTTATTCTTATTGTAAACACGTATTGTTATAAATGTGTACATATATATGTATACGTTTCTAATACATACATATATGCATATATATATAGTTATCAACAACTTTGATTGAAGTCTCAGATCAAAAAACTATTAAACGAGGCTTTTTCCGAGACGCCTCCGAATAAAATGGTCCCTTCCCGGCAGCTAACGACATTAGAGATAGACGGGTATCTAAGATTAATCAATGACGTGAGAGCGTATTAAACATGTTAAAAATATATTTCAATGTAACGCCTTAATTATTCTTGTAAATAGTCGTTTCATAATTTACCTAGATTATTACCAATTTAGATTATTTCTAATTTTTTACTTGTGATTGTAATCGATTTTAAATTACGCTTTTACTCTCTTTGTATAACGTAAGTCTTGTAAGTTCTGAATTTTTGAAAAAAACTCAAAAAGATACATATATTTAGCTGTGTAAATACGTACATAATTACATTAAACACACAATTTGTTTGTTGCTAAAGTACATCTTAGGTGAAAATACATTGTGATTTGGACTATATTTTCGAGATCTCAATTGATTTCAATTAATAAACAATTTGATCTCAAAATTATTATTATTTGCTCGATTTTGTGTGTAAATGGGAAATTGTGTGAATATATATATATATATATACATATATACGATATATCTCCTAAAGTCTGTCTCTTAACTCCTCTTCGGAATATTTATATGACTATGTCAATTTAAGAACTAGTAGTAATAAAAACTTCATATTTATACATAGAAGATGATACATAATATATTTCAAAATCATTCTTTTATAATTTTGTGCGCACACGTATATGTTGTATAAATGCAGACACGATTTTTTTATTTTCCGCAAAACAAACTTTTTATTCTATCTCGATTGTTTCTCAAATTTATTACTTATGAAGTTTTTGTACGAACGTGTAAATTTTATTTTAAATTAAAAAAAGCTACCGTAATCTTATGTAAATTTTTACCATCAAAAGATTATATGAAATGTTGCACACCTTGCAAAGTTTAATCACTTCTATACATATATATATATATATATATGGCAAGTAAAATATATTGCAATGATAAAAGTTTATTTATACATCGGAAATAGGAGCTAATCGCTGGCGATGACGTATGATGAGAAAAAAATAATAACTGCGAGAGTTATGACATTATCTAAGTAAGTGTAAGACGTATGTATCACGCAGCAAGAGAGAATTTTTCACGCTCGGTAATACATACGTCATATATAGATAAATACATTATATATATATAAAAAAAAAAAAAAAAAAATTAACATTATCGATATATGCATAATATATAAACCTCTGTCTTCCAAATGCATAATTAAAGTTACTTCGTGTGTAAATATATTACGAACATCGTACACATATATGTATAACGTATATTTCCACGATTCGTAAAATTGTGACCGACCGCGCTGTGCGAGTATCGTGACACCTCACAAGATCTTAAAAAAGATTTCGAACACAGTCACTGCGGATGACGATTTTCAACTAATTTTTTTCATAAAATCGAATTTAGATGACACGTATTTTTTTATAATTTTAAAAAACAAAAAACAAAAAAAGAAAAAAAGCTACGACGTTAATTCAAGATCAATTTATTTTCAATAAACAAATACGTTACCGAAAATTGTATGAAAATTTTTGTTATGTACAATTTGAATGTCAAGGAATTGATCTCCGTGTTGTGCGAAGAACAATCTGAACAATCGGCGAAGATCAAAAAAATGTGAACATCACGCATGCTCGCGGTATACCCCGTGTGATATTAACACGAGAGAAAAAGGTCTAGCTGTAATTTATGAAAATGTATTTTTGTGCTACAGTCAATCTTACTATAGGTATTTACAGATTACTAGCGAGAGTTATAAAAAAAAAAGGAAAGAGGGAGAGAGAAAGTGGCGACGCGATTTTGCGGCTTGCGTCTCGACAGCAATATACGACGAATCGAACAAATAATGAGACACACACTCGACAGGCCTCGAATTAATGATTTAGCGCGCAGTTCTTCTTCTTTTTTTTTTTTTTTTTTTTTTTTTTTCGGTAGTAAAAACTGCGCGAGGTGACGGCGAAACACGTGACAACACAATCTGCTGAATCGCGACGTTTTTTTTTACGGTGGAATGGCGTCAAATTATATGAATCATATCGCGCTTGATCTATAGTCGCAGCGTTAAGAGTCTCGTAAACGATTATTGCAAAAAAAAAAAAAAAAAAAACGCATCAGGAGGAAACGGCAAAAAGAAGCGGAAGAACGGATTCCGATTCCACATAGTGTAACATATACATAATAAAA